CTCCGAACGTCGAGCGGTATTATTATTGTTGGGCCTTTTTCGAAACCTTCCAATGGTAAAGTTGGTTTCTACATTAATTCTAATGGAAATGAAAAAACTTAAAAAAAAGATTACTCAACTGACCCCTTAACATTTTTTCTGGTTCAATTATTCTTTTCTCAGTGTTGTCTAACCTCTCAAAATGAAAGGTTAGACAACTGCCCTGTGAATTTTTATTTATGAAGGTTGCAAAGTCCTTTAAAGAAGTTTTTGCACAAAGTAATTCTATGTTCGGACCGACACTGAAATCATTTTGAAAACACATTTGTGGGTTGTGGAATCTAAGTCGTTCGGACCGACAATGTGCGTTTTCAATGAGTTTTCACTAGCAACCATCAATAGCGGAATTTCCTTGCTCGTGCAACATTGCACGATGACACAAAATGCAAAAAACCTGCACCGAAATATGAAAGGCCAAGAGAACACTCATTGCTGAATCCAGTGATATATGACGGCACGAAAATAAGCATGGGTTTAAGTCTGACATATTTTAAAGCCAGTGCAAATAATTTACCGCGTGTGTTTGTTGTTGTGCCGTTGCACCAAGAAGAAAATTCTGCAATTCGTGCACCGTGCAAGGGTTTTTCAAGAGCAAGAGAACTCCCCTAATATGACAATATCAAGTGACAGCTGTATTTGTATATGGAATGGAAACAAATATCAAGTGACAATTTAGGACCGGAAGAATAATAGATTGTCAAAAAAGTATTGGGGTATTTTTATAGAATTTTCAATTGTTCAAAAAATTCTTTTTTGATGACTCATGCCTAGCTCTTGACTGATGCTACGGCTGCTACTATGTCGGTCTCTTTCGACCAATTCAGCGATTTTATCGCAATTTTCGACGACAGGCCTTCCGGAGCGAAAACGTTGAAACCATCGTTGTGCGGTAGAAATGGAAATCCATTTTTGCCTTTATCGTAGTAGTACTGTAAAATATGCCGTATTTTCTCTTTATTTTGCTCCATGTTTGCGACGCTACACCCTGCGAAATAAGTATAAAGGCACTACAAAAAGATTTCTTAAAAAAGGAACTTTCTAATATTTTGTGATTTTATTTATAAATTATATTAATGTATTTCAGAACGATTTAAAATCAAATGAACAAAAATTAAACTTTTAACCCTTTGAGGGGTGCGCAATAATTACAAAGGCACAAGAGTATTTGAGTTTCTTAGGTAAATATTTATTAATTTAATAAGAAGTATGTCCTCCGTTATTGTTTAGAACTTCTTCCAAACGCTTTGGCATTGATGTAATGAGAGAATGAATGTACGATGGCTCAATGTTCCTCCATTCTTGTCAGGACTAATCGCAGGCCAATCGAGATTTGGAATTCCGCGGGATAATAGGAATTCTTTTGTCTTCCTTGAACGGTGGATTGCTGCGTTTTCCTACTGAAAAATATATTCTGGAACAGATATATCTTCTCCAAACGATATTAAGACATCATCTAGAAGCTGGATATAATAATCGGAGTCCATCTTGGTGCTAATGAAGCAGATAGGTGTAGTTCCTCGGTAACTTATTCCCACCCAAA